TTGGGTACTGTTTTTTTTTTTCAACATTATGTGGGCGGGTGTCGTCTATTATAAAGGGGAAAAAAAGCCATGTGAAAATATTTACGGAAAGAAATGGAAAGTAGTTTTAAAATAGGTCACTACCAAAAAAAGTAGCTCGCAGCTGCACTGAAAGAACCTGTTTCTGGCTCAGTCCGGTTCTTGGTTGACTGCTTACAGTGAGTGTACTGTTCTTTAACAGTTTTATCTTTTTCTAATTTATAAGTAGACATTTCTAATTTCAAACATTTTTTGTCAGCTGAACTGAACTTCTGCAAGGCTGACTGGTTAAAAATGGAATGTGCGGCATTGTTTAGGACATACATTGAACCTGTTGTGCTCGCAGCTCAGTTTGGAAGTGCATTTTATGACACTGGCTTGCAAATTGTGGTGAAGGAAAGCTATAACCGAAAAACGTCAATAAACTCCACAAACCCCGGGGACGATTTGCAAAAAGCAATATCTAATTTTTACATGATCTACAGCATGATATCGAGCTTTGTTCCTTTCCTACCAGCTTTGTTCCTGGCAAGGCTTGGAGACAAGAGGTGTAGGAAGATACCCATTGGCGTGCCTTTGGTGGGTTATTTTCTCTCCAGAGCCCTCCTGCTCCTCGTTGTCCTGGTTGAGTTACCCATTGAGGTGATGTTTGGGGGAGCAGTGCTATACGGACTGTGCGGTGGTTTTTCATCTTACTGGGCTGGCGTCATGGCACTTGCATCCTCACGCTCAAGCGAAGAACGGCGATCCCTCCAACTGATCAGAATCGAGCTGGTTTATGGAATAGCAGGATTCGTAGGCAGCTTGTGCTCAGGACACATCCTGTCTTTTTCACAAGCAGTTCTGGTGGGAGCAAGTGTGTTCCTCTATTTGCTTTGCATCATATACATTGCATTCGTTCTAAAAGTTACCGCACAACTCGGCTCTCTTGCAGACAGGAACAAGAGCGAAGAAGAGCAGAGTGGACCATTGGAAAGTACAGGCCTGTGCAGTCTATGTGCCTATGGCAAGACTAACATTGTGCTGCTGTTTGTCAGTGCCCTCCTGTACGATGTGTCAGTTGGCGGTGCAATGGAAATTTTGATCTCGTTTGTAATGAAGGCGCCTTTGGATTGGGGTGCGAAAGAGGTGGGGTATGGGAATGCCGCCGGCTTTGTCATCTTCATCACCAGCTTTCTGGGAGTCTGGGTTTTCTCCAGGTGTTTAAGGGACACCACCATGATCATCATCGGGATGTTGTCATTTGCCAGTGGAATTTACGTCATGTCCTTTGTGACGAAGACGTATCTGTTCTATATAGGTAAGATTTCTTTACTTTTACTATATTATACAAAATTATATGAAAAATAAAAAAAATCCTTTCTCTTTCTCCCCGGGCCCTCTATCCTCTGTCTCCACGTATTAATCATTAATTTTGCCTCTTTTACACTACCTTTTTCAACTCCCACTTCCCCTTTGTCACAGCTCTTTTTGACCTCCCTGCCTTTGTCTCTTACCGTACATCCCCATACACCTGAAAAAAAAGTTGTTTTTATTTTTTTGTTTTCCATAATTGAGTTAATCTGTTCTTGTTACTGTATTATAAACCTGTGTTGCGGACATTTGCACAACTTTACCGACCCTTTAGTTTGATTCAGTTGTATTATGATTGCTATGTACAGAGTAAAACGCCAAGATCTATACAAAATAGACAGCAAATGGCATGGATTGGCTTGTATTGATGTAGACAAGATAGAGTGAAGTGAGATAACCATGTGAGAACTGCAATCATTATGCAAAGAGTAGCATACAGGTACCATAGGAAAAAATATACATATAAAATGGTCCACAGTGAGTTTGAAGATTGATCAATCTTATCACTAAATCTGGAATTTTTATAAGAGAAGAGCAACAAGATGCATTCTGGGGCTTAAAGAAATGTCCTACGCTAACAGAATTAAAGAACTGACTGTTTTTAGTCTTAAACAGAAAAGACTCTGATAAGACCTAATTCACAATGTGTAAATCTTGAAAGGAGTAAAGCTTGTAATAATCAACAATGAAACACAAACCACAGGGCACAAGTGGACACACCCATGGAGAGTACTTTTTTAAAATTGAAATCAGTTGGTACATTTTAAACAAAGGTTTGTGGGAGTATGGAAAACAAACTGCCCAGGCATGTGGTTGAAGCTGATACTCTGGATTCTTTAAAATCCTATCGAATGAGAACATTTCCAAATGGCCACGAAATGTTCTCATTTGTAATTATTTCATGTTCACTGGGAATAACATGCGTATCGAAAAGGTTTGTTGAGTCTTTTAGTAAATTTGGCTTGACTTGACTGATGGTCAACCTCTTGGCTGTAGGACCCCGATGCAGAGTGAGGAGTGACCAAGTGGTTACTAGAAAGGTGAAGATGGTGTGGAACAGGGGTGCAAAAGGATTGGAGACAATGGATTGGAGACTGACTGCAGAGAGAAGAGACTGATTGAATTTGGCCGGTGTCTTTATTCCTCATCTTTAATTATAGAATCCATTTCAGGCTGCTTATTTTTCTGACTGCTATTGTGCACATGTGATGTTAACAAAGTTAATGCTAACAAAGCACAACAATATTGTCTGCTAAAGACATTATTTTGCCTTCCTTCTACCAAATGAGTTCCAAGAATAATGGGTGAATCTAAGGGGTCATAATATATTTGCTTTGTATTTCTATGATATTATAATATACAGATATACAGTGTACATCATCTAGAAGAAAATGTTTTTACAATGGGAGATTCTGTAAACATTATACAGTAGTTGGTGTATTGAGTAGTCATTGCATGGAACAAAAAACTATCACTATCAGTATACTTTTTTATTATTAAACTGATACACAAAATACAAAGCCAAGGTCTAATGGATTTAATATAAGATTTAAAACATAGATATCCAACAAAATCACATAACGTGTGACCAACATACAAAGCATGGAATTAGGTTTTCAGCACAAAATGTGAGACACTATCAAAACCATTACAAAATGAGTATCTGAAATGTTTTCAATGATGTAAAATTGAGTCTTTTAGTTTTCAGGAATCTGACAACCAGTTTTCTTAGGGACTTCATCAAAGGATGGCTGAGCAATGAGGTTGCCCCAATCTGCACCAAAGATGTATTTGTCTTTAAGGAGATTCCTCTCTGTTATGACACTGCCTCCACCCCAATGGTTGGCATGAACAATGAAATAGCATAATTATCACCTTAATGTCTCTACACATTGTCCTTCATCCGGTTTATTAAGGGCAAAATTACATTGTCTAGTAAATTAAAAAAAAAATTCTGCTGCTAGCTTAAATGTTCTCCAGCTGTCAGCATGGGTGCCCATAAATGATATGTAATCTCTAAGGTCATTTTCAAGAAAACAGACAGTATGGATTATTTCTTCCTGGAGCTTCTCATGTGGCTGCCATTGCTACAGTGTCTGAAAACAATTGTGCTGATGGTTTGGGCTGAAGTAGGGGTCTGTCCCAGGAAACAGAACGAGTTTCCTGGTTTCTCTGAACTAGTCAGTTGATTGCTGAACAGTATTCTCGTTCTCAAGGCAACGTCTGTCACACACAGGCCACCTTCAGTTTCCTAATTAATTTTACAAATTGACCAAACAATGAACACCTGGTCTCTTTTTGATCAATTGAGTGTAATGTTTTCTTATTGCAGAGATCAATAACTCTCAATCAACAAACCAGATCTGCACTATATTTAAATTGTAAACAAGAGTTATATATGTGCTTAATATTGATGTAGAACTGAGGCTAGGTTATTTGCATGTGGTGTTTCGTAATAGTTTCTTGTTCTAGGACCCAGTCGTACTTTACCTATGTTCCTGCTTTCCTTTGATTCTTCCTTTCTGAAGTAAGATGTGACCACCATCGTGGTGCCAATAATTGGTTGCCCCCCCAATCACACAGACAGGTGGCCTTAATTGTGGTAGCAATAGCAGTAGTATGCTGTACACATAAAAAACATAGCAGAAGTATAACAACAAACATTTTAAACTGACCAAGTAAAACCAATAGCAAAATAAAGCTATGCATTAAAAGCTGTAGTACAATGACTGGTTTTTAAGAACATTTAAAAAATGTCTGTAAATGTGGATTTTCTTACGGAGCTGGGGAAAATCTCCCAGTTATTCTCCCTGGGGTAGGGTAAGAGGACCTGAATCAACTCAGATTAAGTGTTGGACTATACTCATCCAACAAATCCTTAAGGTAACCACAAGCCATACTGTATCATTCACTGCCATTCACTGGTGATGTTCTGTAATGCTAAGTAGAATGGTTTGATGAAAGTGTAGGATATAACATAGACCTAATACAGCCCAGGACGTGAAGCAAAAACCAGTGGCAGATGAAATGTGAATAATAAGGTGAAGGTTCATAGTAATGTACACTTGAAACTCCTGATATTATAGTTTTCTAATAAAATATCCTAGCATTTCCCTACCAGGGTCCCGCCTTGCAGTTTACTGTACAGGTGGAAGGCGGAGAAAAAGATCTCGGGATGTACTGCACAGGTACAGTGTGAATAGATGGTTTTCGAGGAGGTAACAGAATGTGGCCAGAGAGAAGGTAGTTTGGAGATATGAATGGCTGGTGACAGGAAGGTTTATTAAGTCCAAAGACAGAAGGGTAAACTAATGTAGCTATTTAACACAGCCATAAGTAAAACACAAGTGTATAACACATGTATACACTTAAATTAAATACAGATTATAAGACCATAAATCCATAGTCCATGCGTTTTAGATTTCAAGTATTATTACTTTTTTTTTCTGAAACTTCAAAGAAGTTAAAAATTGAACTAACCCTTGCAATAGATTTAAGTACAGCACAGTACCAAAGACATTATTAGCAGGTAAGAGGTACAGTATGAGTAATGATAAAAAAAAAAGATGGAATACAAAAACATCTGGTTTCTTTTAAAACTGCCTTCGTATTTCCTGTTTTTTTTTTTTTGCTGAGTTTTAAAGTTGTATTCATGTTTCCTGGATTCTGAACTGTTAAACTTTGGAATTTGTGATTCTCTACTCTGAAGACAAAGGAGCACCGAATAACAACGGAGAACGTACAGTAATAGTTTAAAAAACGACCTCCTGATCATTCTTGATTACTAGTCCTTAGGGGAAAAAGTTCCTTTCTTAAAGCGGCAAACGTTGTTTTTGTGAAGTATACTTTTATATCGGCACAGAGAAATAATGTGGTTACAGTACATTTTTTGCATGCTGCAGCCTGTGGCATTTTTTGTGTAACGTTTTCTGTGAAAGCATGCTTGCATTCTTCAAAATAGTCTGCGTTTGTGGTATTGAATTTTAAAACCCCTTTCACAGTTCGTAAATTAAAGTAAAAAAAAAATGCAGTGGTCCATTATCCGTGAATTCCTTGAGCCCGTTATTATCGCTGCTCAGGTTGCCAGTTCGTTCTTCGACACCGGTTTACTGATGGTAGTGAAAGAACATTACAACGTGTCGAACAGCAGTACCTCTCTGTTTGCCGCACATTATAAAAACCCCGATGACGATCAGCAAAGGGCAGTAACCAATTTCTACATGATCTACAACATTATAACGGGATTTACACCTTTTCTCCCAGCTCTTTTTCTGTCTGGGCTTGGTGATAAATGGAGCCAAAAGATTCCCATCTGCGTGTCTTTGCTGGGATATGTGATCTCCAGAGCTCTCTCTCTCCTCATTGTCCTGCTTGAGCTGCCCATCGAAGTGATGTTTGGGGCAGCTGTTGTTTATAACTTGTGTGGAGGCTTTTCTGCATACTGGGGTGGACTCATGGCTCTTGCAGCAGCACAGTCCACTGAAGCAAAAAGGTCTGTCTACTTTGGAAGAATTGAAATGGCTTATGGAATTTCTGGGCTTTTTGGCAGCATGGCCTCTGGCCACCTCTTCCAAAATTTGGCTTTTGCACAAAAGAAGGGGGCTTTGTTGTTTGAGCTGAGTGTTTCCCTTTACTTATTTAGCTTCATCTACAGTTTTTTTGTTTTAAAAGTCCCATCTGTTGAGAGGAGACAGTCACCTTTGACTGCTGAGCAAACTTCCATCAATCACAGCCTTCCTAGCAGACATGGTGAAGAAAGCAGTTGTGAGACAGAAGTCACTGAAGTGGTGAACCAAAACTCTTTTGATAAGATTAACATTGGACTTCTGTTTACTGCCGGAATATTGTACGATATGTGCTCCTGGGGCATCACAGATATTTTGAACTCCTTTGTCCTCAAGGAGCCCTTAAACTGGGATGCCACACAGGTTGGTTATGGGAATGCTGCCTACTCTGCTGTTTTCATCACCAGTTTTCTGGGAGTCCTGCTTTTCTCGAGGTGCTTAAGCGATACCACGATTATAATCATAGGGATGGTGTCTTTTGCCGCTGGTATACTGGTCATGGCATTTGTGACAAAAACATTCCTGTTCTATGTAGGTAAGATCATTTAATGTGTTAACCCGATGTACAGTATGTACTTCTCTGTAGTGTGATTCTGTCGGGAAGAGGATAAATCACATTAAGGAGATAAAAAATGTGATTTATGCTCAGGGATGCGCAAGCTCCCATAACCATGTATCAGATCTCTGTTTTACTGATTGTAGTAATGGGAAATACAGCAGGTGCAATGTGGAACATAAAAAGACAAAACAGTAGGCTGATTATGAGAATTTGGTCCAAACAATCTTCAAGCAGATCTGCAAATCCATAGCAAAGAAGATATATATTTTTTAAAGGACACAAATGAGTTTCTTTTCTTCTGTCTTAGGGTGTTCTGTTGTTCATTTAGTTTGAACATTTTTGTTTAATTAATTGTAAGGAGCACAGTCCTGAATATGAATATGATATAATTATTTGTTTTATTTTTTTGTTGATTGAAGCATGGTCCAAGTATAGAACAAATTTAACAAAAATGCAAGAAGAGGTGTGTGCAAGAGATATATTTAGTGAAAGTCAGTAATGGTTGCGATTTTAAATGGCTGGGTGAAATTGGCTTTATCTGTTGTAATCCTTCCCAGCTTCAGATGAGAACTTTCTTATTTTTTCAGACTCCGTTGTATTTGTTTAAAAATTGGAAAAGGTATGGGAAAAGGCATGTATTCTGTTCAGTGTTGCATAATTAGTGGTCTTCAGCTCTTATGACAAAATGTGTTTGAATTGATGTTTGCTTTTCTGTGGTTTCTGAGTTTTTGAAAATCTGCTATTAAAATTCTCCCAATGTCTAGACTTTCAAAAAAAAGCATCTTTTAAGTAGAATCCTAAAAGACAACTAGGAAATTATGTAGATACAGTATAGCTTTGTGTCTCATTTCAGTACTCAGAACCATTCGTTATGCTTTAACATCTGTTAATGTTTGCTTTATTTTACTAGCTCTGAGCAGCATGGCAACACAGTGCTTAGCATTAGCATTAACCTTCCAGCATGACTGTGGGAGGAAACTAGAGCTCCCAACCAAAACCTTAGCAAACATGAGCAAAACATGCAAACTCCACACAGATAGCACCCCAGGTCCAGAATTAAACCCCCAGCACTGTGAAACAGCAATGCAAAGCACTGTGCCACGTTGGTGCCATTAACTGAATGCACTTGCATTTTTCCCTGCCTGGCTTTCATTTATCTTTTTTTTCACGTTTTTCTTCTATTTGCAATGCACTTTAACACGTCTTCCAGTTTATTTCTCTGCAGCTGCTACTGATTGGCCAGTGATTCTAATATAAACAGCATGTTTCTGCTCTTTATTTTCTGTGTTTTTTGCTAGCCAATCTCCCGTTAGCTCTGAAATTAAACAGATTACATTGTAGGTTTGGTGATTTATTCTATTTAGACAGTAATCGATTATTTTTAAGTTGACTTAGGATTTCTTACTGTTTATAAATATGTTTAATATGTATTTCAAAGAAACATTTGGTGAACAATGTTTTAAAATTGTGAGGGCGCACAGGTGAATTCTTTGGAATGATCAGAAAGAAAGGTTCATTGAACGAAGTATTTGGTTCAATGCATTCTACAGCATGGCAAGGGAACTCTTCTAGCATTTACAGTCTGTGTTCTTTTTATTTATTACAGCTCGTGCTTTGAATCTGTTTGCTTTGATTCCAATGCCCACCATCCGCTCATTGCTGTCAAAGCAAGTCCCAGGATCCTCATATGGTAAGACTCCTTCACTAGGATTTGGGCACCACATGGAAAGTGGATATACAGTAGTCAGATACTAACGACAGAAGGCTTGAGATACAGACCCTAAATCTGAAATTGTCATAAGAAGTTATAACTAAAAAGGTTTTTGTTAGTGCATGAATGATGATTTAACCCTTATGCATAATACCTTCAGACTGTATTGACAAACAGCATTACAGTGAGGAAGCTTAATAGATTACTGCATCTGTTGTTTGCATGCCATATTAAAGCACTGGGGAAGAACTAAGCACAAAAATCAAAATTTGATACTAATTCAAACCATTCTTTCTAGACCTTTGAAATTGTTTAATTGTCAATATTCTAAAAGCTTTAGAAAATAACACATACTGTATTTATATGAAACCCACATAAAATTAGTTGTATGATGCACGTAATGTAGTTTGACTGGGTTCCATAGGCAGAACATTTAAAAAAATGTAGCATTTGCCTTTATGCTCTTCATCAGTTTTATTAAATATTTCTTTCTTTATGGAAAGTGATTTCTTGGTTTGTTTGTTTCCTTGTTTTGTGATTAAATCATGTTAGACTGTAAAATGGTTTGAAATTCCAAGGGTTAATGAAGTTGATGTCTTTTACTTCCTAGTCAGCTATATCTGGAGAAGTGTCAGTAATAAATGTGGGTCATTGTTGAGCTGTGCCTGGGAAAGACTGTAGTTCTGTTCTATTCTATCATTCCTGCTCTTCCAGGATAATGGCTCTTTTAGTACTGGGGCTTTCCCTTTGATGTCATCCATTGGCAAACTTGGAAAAAAAATCCAAAATTGTGAAAGACAGGCAGTATTATTATTATTATTATTATGAGTCAGGAACTTCAGTAACATTTTATTTGAATGCTGCTGCATAAAGGCTTCATAATTTCTACATAACTGCTAAACAAGATGTCATAATGAGATACACAATGCTTTATGGGGGGATGCACAAATAACATAATGTGTTTGTATTAACATCACATCATACCGAGCGCTGTACTAAAAAAGATCCATTATGCAGGAGCATTCAAATCAAGTGTTACTGGAACTTCATAGAAAAGTAGTATTATATGGTTTAAATAAACACAATGCGTTAAATTTCTGTAAATGATTCCCCTTACAGGCTCCTCTTTCTTGAATATCATAAGAAAAGCAACAATCTGAACTACACTGATTTCATTAAGAGTGAGTACAGGCAGTAACACCTGTTCAAACAGAGCAAGTCTTAGAACAATCGCTATTTAAAATCAGTGAAGAAATGTATTGTCGTCAGGTGCTATTTCCATTAACATTAACAAAATCACAGATTCCAAAATATAAAAAAAAACACTTCAATGATATGCATACAGGTGCAGACATCAAGTCCGGTGCATATAAAGACTGCACCTGCACAACAATCATGTCATTATTTTTTTAAAATTTCTTTTAATCATTAGTTACATAGCCAGATTCCTAAAGAGCAAGGAGTCACACACTGATAATGTGCTTAGGAAATGCATAATCATGCAACCTAAGCACTGTGAAGACAAATTAAAAAAAAATTGCATTCAGGTACCTTAAGCATAAGAGGAGCTTTTATAGCTTTCTATCTATAAAGCATATTTTTTTCTGAACAATACTTTTATTGGGTTTATTTTAATCTGTCGCACTAAATTTCACAATTCTTATGAAAATATTTTTAAGACTTGAATCTGTGACAGATGAGGTCGAGCATGCTGCGAATGATCTGTCCATAGGTTGGTACTCACATTCCTTTATGGGTTTCATTTGTACTGTTAATCTCATTTAATATAACCCTTATGGTTCCTTGCAGTTGTTTTTTTACATATTCCCACAGACATTCAGCTGGATTTGGTGCTACTATGTAATGCATGGTACACCCCACTATCTTGTTTTTTAAAAAAAAACTTCAGAAAACATTGAATTTTAAACAATCGAGAGCTTGTTGATTTTATGGAACTCTAATACTGAGCCGCCATAAACCTTAGCTCATAATGCTAGCATTTAAAAATTAACTAGTCTTTCAATAAACAGTGAGAATTTATCAGCATAAGGAATTGTGATATAACACCCTTTAAAACATGTGGGCTTTTGTGTGCCATAATTCCATATCTTCGAAGACACTGATCAATAATTTTTAGCAATTTCTTTTAATCAGGTCAAAGCATCTTGGCTCATTGCTCGGATGGTAAAAATGTTGTGTTTCCGCTTGTGCACTCCTCTTTTTTGGGCTGGTCTCCAACTCCTTCCCATACTTTAGTTCTCTCAAATTACTGTAGTCTGCTTCTTACAATTCAGTACAAAGAAGTGAGTTCATTTGCTTACTGCACTACCTAGAACTCAGGTATGTTAAAAATTCTGTCATGGGCTGGAGCACAATTCCCTGCACGTAGTTTTCTCTCCTTCAGTCTTTTCCGGTAAGATGAATTATGCAATTGAAGCATCTGACCTGTTTTTCAGCTGCAAAAAAGGATAGTCCCCAGGAGGAGAGAAACTGGATGTGTGTTCTTCCCCTCCAGGGAGTGCCTTAGTTTTGGCTTTGGCATGCTGATTCTATTTTATGCTTCCTGAAAGCAAAAACCGAAAGAGTTAGGCCAGTGAGACTGTATGTGGTTTTTAAAATGGCCAGATATTGTCTTTGCCCCTTCAGACAAGCAGAGCCTCAGACTTCATATGATTAATTTTCCTGGAAGGAATACCTAAGCTTAAAATGTAATAATACCATATTACTATTTGGAAATAAGTATACAAAATTCAATGAGGTAGCTGTTTAATTTGTAGATGGTCTGAATTTTAAATGAGGTTAGTTTGCCTTCCTTAAATTTGCTTGATGCACTTTTTAATCAAGTTCCTGACGCTGATACAGGTTTTTTAAGCATTAATTTTATTTTCAAGGGAAGAGAATTTTAAAACGTATAATCTCAATGTTAAGTTTAAAAAGTAACATCTAATTTACCTTTAGATGATGTGCACATTAATATAAACACTATAATTAGTGTTATACTTTGTGTACTAGTAATATTTTTTGTTTAAACACAAAAAATTTGAGCAGTAAATACAAAGCAGCAATACAAAGTTCTTATTTATTGCATTTGTAACTCAGTGTCAAAATCAATCAAATCAAAATCTCCCATAACACCAGTTTAATGTTTTTTTCATCCATTTAATACATTAAACCTTTGCATTTCATTTACTGTTGTCTGTGTTTTAGTGACTAAAATCACCAGGGAAGTCTGTTTGTTACGGATGTTTATATGATTATCTCAGTCTGCATTTTGATCAGCTCGAATCAGGAAAGTTCTTAATACTATGAGTATAACTGGAATTTCACAATATTGTTGGTGGGAAGAGAATAACATTAGTTCCTGTAGTCAGCCATTTTGAACTGAATAAGTCACATATCAAATGTGAGTATGGTATGCACAAAGAGTTTTTATTTTATACAGTACCTCTGTCCTTTAATATCTAACCTTTTTTTTACAAAGACTACAGAATTGTAACTGCTTAGATATCAAGTTAAAAATATTGATAGTACAGAGAGAAACCATATCCATTGTTCTGTTGTTTTATACTTTAAAAAAATAGGGATGGAAAATAAAATTCACTTTTTCTTTAGACAGAAGACCATTTTGTCTAATCAAGCACATCATATTTGTTTTCCAGAATAGTTTTTAGTAGGAAACAATGAGACATCTGGTAGGTACAGGTTCTCTGCACTCAGTTGTTAAATGCTTATATGAGTGAAACCTGTTGAGTTGTTTAAAAAACATAGAAATCTGAGCTTAAAAATTCAATTGTCCCATTCAGTAAAGAGAAATCTTACACAATGGAATCCTGTAAATTGTTTTTGTAACTGAGTTCCTGAATGTGCCTTCACATTCAAAAGAAAGGTACAGTATATCCCTTATTCCATCCTCATCTCAGTGCACTGTGCTCTCTCATTGCAGTATCACAGCAGCACACCCTGCTGGGAGAATGTGGTCAGGACTGAGCATAGAGTATCAGCAAACTGATGTTATTTCTCTGTGACCTTGTCTTAACCCTTCTAATCTGACCTCAGGCTCCCAGTTGAGCTGTTTTCCACACTCCCTGTTGAAGTTTATTTGAGTGACCCTTCAGAACACAAGAAAGCAGGCAACCTCATTATTAAATATATTTGTGTAAATTTCCCATCAGTATACTACAGCGAGATGAAATTCTACTCCATTTTTCTTTTGACCATTTTTCTTAAATACAGATCGCTCATTCCATTTTCCTCAGTCATATTCCTTCAGTGAGAAAAAAAGAGTACTAAATACGGTTGTATTTTATATACAACATTGTATATACAGTACTTTATACATTCAAGAAGACCTGGTCTATAACACTTAAAAGCAATGTTTTTGTAAATAAAAAGAAAATACAGACCTAAATTTTTAAGGGAGTTTTTCTTTTACATGTAAGTATTGTTCCATGACATGTGCTATAATTTTAAAGCAGTAAAAGGACGTCCAAAGCAAGTGTCAAAGAGTACCATGGTTTTTATTTTTGCAGGTTTGACTAAAACATTTTTGAGCTGGGAAGTGTTTGCAACGTTTGCCTGGTATGGCAGTTTGAATCTAGGTCAAGCACACACTGTAAGCTTCGCTTACATAATGTCACAAAGCGTCTTTCGGGACCCTATGCAGACAGCACAATCCGGAAGGGAGTGAGAAAACACAGGGAAAAAGGACCAGGATAGGGGCTGGAAGAATAACAGAGGGCGTGTCCAAGGTGCGCTGGTACCCGGGGGGGGTGCCCAGGGCAAACAGGACCAAGGGTGTCCGTTAGAATATCCTGGGAAAGCCAATGTCCAAAACCGGGTGATCCATTTTGACACAGACGAACTAAGATAAAAGCCGGAGCGGGATCCAGTGAAGGGTCGGGGGAAATAAAAGGGGGTTACGGGGCCAGGCGCTCCCAGTTCCGGACCCAGATGGTCAGGATGCTGTTGTGAAGCCTATGCCGTCGAGTCGCTCCTGGACTCTTGGGTAGGCGGGCTTCAAGGCGTCCATCTTCTAAAGCTGAGCCCAGATTGGCAGGAACATCTGGCTTTTATAGGATGGGGGCAGGAACTGGAGGCAGGTGCAGGAGATAGAGAAATAATGAGGAAAGACTGGAGCGTCCTTAAGAGGAGGGGTTTACGACTGTGACATATAGAGAATTTCAAATAAACAAATTCTTATTTTATATCTCGTTATATCTTTTGTTGCATAAAAACAAGAAAGGTTTATGAGACTCCTAGTATACCACAGTAACATCTGAGCTCACATTACAGTTTTGAAGTATGGTTTTTGAAATTCTTCTAAATTAATTTTTAGGAGCATGCACTGTAAAAGTAGCACCCTGACTCAAAACGTTTGCTAAATATATTTTATATATATTATATATTCATTTAATGTAGAAGCCATCAAAAAAGGCATTGCGAAATGAAGCCAGTGGAAAAACTAAGTGACAGTGTAAAACCCACAGCAAGATGTTCAGGTTAGATCATTGACTTGAAAGCTATGCATTTGGAGAATACGTTAGGAATGTCTGTTAATGTAGCTTCTTTTTTCCAAAGGCAAAATTATGATCGTGCTGCAGCTGTCATTCACCCTTGCTGGTGTGGCCTACTCACCTATTTTTACGAAGATTTACCAAGCTACCCTGGACTGGTTTGCTGGATTTGTCTTCACTTTGTCCAGTATTCTCACCTGCCTGGCCATTATCCCCATATGGTAAGAAGGGTCTCTGCTCTTACAAGGGTGTAGAACTTACTGCCAGAATAAATTCTACAAGAACAACTGTTCATGTAATGAAGAAACCATTATATTCAGATTTTACTAATGGCATGAGATTTGAATTAAGAATGTAGACTACAACCGTCCTTAAACTGAAGCTCCATTACTAAAATACAGTGCCTTGAGAAAGTTTTCATGCCCTCCTTCCCAAACAATATTATTGTGTTATGACCAGAATTAGAATTGTTAATGTATTAAAATGATTTTCCCCTTGATTCACACAACATATGTGACAATTTAAAGGGGCAAATATTTTTATTGAGCAGTACATATTTATGGAAAATGAAAAACAGAAATATCTGGTTTACAGAAGTAATCGCCTCTCTTAGTCAATACTTTGTAGAAGCACCTTTTGCAGCAATTACAGCTTTGAGTCATCTTGGATATGTCTGTATCAGCTTTGCACATCTTGATGTGGGGATTTTTCCATTGATTGAGGCTAAACACATACAGTAGTTCAGGTGGGTAGCTGCGTCAGTATGCGTAGGCTGCAAAGGAACAAGTAATAGGTTTATTCCATGCTGAAAAGAGAAGAGAGAAAACACAACGTTTCTGCTGTTTGAAGGCTGAAGGTGTCCACCAGGTGTCGGTAGGTGTCTACCAGGTGTCGTCCTGGTAGACCTTCTGCTGTGACATGCACTGATGGACCTTATGTGGACAGGTGCAATTCTTCTGAAATAATTGTACTGACTGGACTGTTCAGGTTTTAGAGTGATTACACAAAGAACGTAGGTGAACCTGGGCTCAATTTGGAGTGTCACAGTCAAGGGGTGAATAAGTGAAAAGGTTTCCAGAACTCACATTCCACTTTCGTATTATATATTTATTTGTATAGCCCGGCATCTTGATTTCTTATGTTTGTTTTACAACATAGAGTATATTTTCACAACGTAAAGTTAACCAATTCATTCCATCCTGGAAAAAAAAGCATTTGCTGAATCGAAACTTTCAGACGTGTTATTATCATTCTTCTGTTTCATGTCGACATTTTTTTCTTTTTTGTAGCATCGTAGGATGGAGAACCACCAGGCAGGAAGGATATGAAAGGATACCAAGTTAACGAAGGAATGAAACCTCACCCTTCATTAGATTGAGTTACTTCTTCTAGGCCTTTTTATATTACTGTCTTCAGTGGTTGCGTGCTGGAATGTTCACTATTTACATTTTTACCTCACTGAGCTTATTCTTATAACCTGTCTCAGTGTATCTCTCCATAGTAACAGCCTAAATTCTCTTCAGGCTTTATTAATGAAACACTAGTTTTAAGGAAAGTTCTCAGTATAATTGTAGAATTGTAGAAAAAAAAAACAATACGTAACAGATCTCAGACGCTTCTGATTTCTCTCTGCCATTTTACTGATGTCTTAAATAAGTTGTATTAAACTTTTAAATTAGTAGTGTCTTCACAAGAAGGTCTTCTTAGTAAAAGGAAGCAAAAGAAAATATACCATTATTTTGACTTTTCAAACTTGAAACTTGCTCGACCTTGGCAGGGTTAAAAATACAATAGTTTTATTGTTAATACATCTATTTTCTTCTTATTTATTGAATTAGTTACATTATGGGCTGTTCTATTTTTATTAAATACTGTAATTAATTCAGATATATTCAAAGAGGATCAACCTCATTGCAGGGTCTAAATGACATACAGTTTGGTTAGTTGGGTAATGTAAATGTTTGTGTAGATAAAACTGTTTTTTTTACTTTAGAAAAAGAAGTGCATAGGCCTCATATGTCTCTGTTTTTATTTGTCTATATTAGCTAATTAAAAGTGGAGGGATTCCGGGATTTGTACAGCCTGGTTGTTTCATTGGACTTAATCGCTGTTTTCTAAAAGTAAAAGCCTGACAAGGTGTGTCAAAAGGTAATTTGGAGAATACATTAGGGTCTTGACATTCGTGAAGGTTCAGTACAGAGAACCATGACGAATAACCAAATACACACATACAGTAACCAAGTCAACTACTATACCATTGCGCAATGTACTGTGATACAGTGTAAACTCATCTAACTGACATCTAACACAAAGTAACTGACCCTTGATAATTAAAGACCAAATGAGTAGACCCGTGGGAGTTGCAATTTACAGTACTAGACACTCCCATAGTGTAGAATTGTTTTAATCCAGTTGACCACACTTGAGCTATAAGACCTAAATGAGGGCAGTTCTGAAATGTACTATATAGTACACATTTGTGATACAAATTACAATCCCCACTGAGATTTAAGAGCTGAAACAAATTTCAAAATATTTGTCTAAAAACCTCTCTACAGCAAAAAACAGAAATCAAAAGGGACCTTAAGGATAGGGATTGAGGATCACTGCTCTGAATGTTCTACACAATAGTGCAAAAAATGTGGGAGGCAAAAAGAACTTGCTAAACAAAAGTAAACAGTGGTAATCACACTACCACCCTAAACAGTATACAGTATCTGTTTATGATTAGTTATGAACATTTTTCCCCATTAGTACTGCAGAAAGTTGTACAGCAACAAAAAAGACTTCAATAAAGCTGATGAGACAAGTCAGACCTTAATAATGTAAATCAACTGGGCCAAGGAACAAGTAATGGCACAGCAAGACTTCAGAGTTACCACCATTTTACATCTACACAAAGGTAAGGGCGATTTATTTTGATTAAGAGGAGAAGTGCTCTCGGCAGAGCACTATGTCACATATTTGAAACACCACAGCCAGCAGTGAGGATTCATATGAATCTGCCAAGCCCATTTCCCATGACAACATGATCAGGCAGACAATCTATCCCACCAGCGTGTAATTAAACTACCACTTACCTCGTTACCTTGTTGACAGTACTTCCCTTCTGTGTCTTAGTGATTCATTCCTAAGCCATGGTGATCCTTTTCTAGTGCTTACTTTGCTTCCCTGGCTTTGTTTACCGTCTGTATTGTTAACCATGTCTTTGGATCCCCCTTGTGCTTTGTTTGTGCATCCTCGTGTTTGACCCGGACTGTCACGATCTTGTTTGGATTCTCTCACGTGCTAAAAACAACTGTACTCATTTCGCCTGGCTTCACTCCCGAACTTCTCTTCGTGTCCTATGCCTTGTCTTTCGAACTTGAAAACCTGTTTGCACAACTACAGCTTTGCTGTGCTCTATCAGGTCAGTGCTGCAATATCTGCACCTATATTGCATAGGAATTTCACAAGAGCCTCACACGCGAAAGCACTTTTAGTGAATAACAGCTTGTGGTGAAAATGCAGCCACATTAAACATGACTGTGCAGAATTTCACATTTGTGCTCTCCAGTGATTTCCTGCATGGCCCTGTGAAACCATGAAGGACTATGCATTGACAATGAGGGCTGTAGCAGCTTTTCATTTCCTCATTCCACATTAACTTAAATAAAAGGCTATTCTAATTATTCCCATTGAAGAATATCTCAAGTCCTCCAATTGGTAGAGTATAGCATGTGAATTTATTTGATGTCATGTTAAAAATGAATTAATTGCTTATCAATGCATATAACAGAGTATGCTATACAGTACTAGGTCCTAGTCAGCACTGGTCCTAATCAGAATACATTGCTGGGATCACTGCTTCTCTTAATTTATATAAATTTATACAGTTAACAGACTAGTCATTTTTGTAGACATGATCAAAATTCACAAATATTTTGATAAAATTCAACATATATGAAAGATATAGTATAATGTAGAAAAGTATAGGATGTTGCATACAATTGGTAAAACCAAATTCAAATTAGATTCAGATTAGGCATGGATTGGGTTTCCTTTTGGCTGCCATTTTGAAAATATAGTGCTGAAATCCCTGTTGCTTGCAATGGAATTTAAATAGTTTCACTATAGGGCCCATTAAAAATAAATCAGTAAACATACTGATCAGTTTTCAAAATGTGCAAAAAAAAGGGACACATGTAGGAAGACCACACAAACACGAGCATAATAAACACACAGATTTTAAATACATTCATTTTTTATTGGTCCAATATTTAAAATCGATTGAGGTAAACGTAATTGCATCAAAAATATCAAAACAACAATTTACAAGCTATTTCTCAAACTAGCAGAATCAACACCAATAGTGTTCAGAATCTGAATTTCATAGTAAACAATACACAATGCAAACAATGTAAAGGTGAAAGAAAAGAAAAAATAGCATTAGGTTTGGCTTTATACTGTATTTATTTAATATGTAAATAAAACATAGGCTTTTTAGAATTTAGTTAAGGCCAGTCCTTCAGGAGCATATCCAAGGTGATCCTTTCAGAAGTCCAAATGCTGGTGTGAATAAAAAAAGAACTGAAGTCTTCTACTGAACAAAAAAATTGACAACTGCCCTTAATAACTCAGTATTATCTACTGTGTAAGAGTGTAGTGAATACATTTGCTTTCTTGAGCACGAATTCAAAACTAATTTCAACACATGAAAAATAGTTAAAAGGCTAAATATGTGCACAAGATGTTTTCCACAGGTGTTTTCTCAAATCATGTTGCGTTTCTGCAGTCTTGTCTGGGAAGGAAACCTATTATTTCTTAGATCCACTTCTCCATCATAGGACTAGCCTGTTAAAATGGATTTTAAAATCTCCCCTTGACTGATCAGGTAATCAAATGGCTAAATGAAAGCTTCCAAAATACACTTGATGGCAGCCGTATAGAACACCTGATGCAGATACAAGAATGCTGTACTGTTCTGTAACTCACAAACTGCAACCTTATAATGCTTTAGTGAAATCACCAGAGGTCACTGCCTTGCATGGCAATTTTAAGTAAGCAAAACTTTAGTATTTTCAATATCTTATTTTCACATAAATTACTACAAAAGACATTTATTGTATTTTACAGGTACTTCATTAAATTCATTACAATATATTTAAAACATGCTACAAAATTTTTAGAAATGCAAAGTAATTCTAAATATAGGATGAACTGTAAAAAAAATAAACATTTGTAGCTGCCTGAATTACATCCAGTACTTACATATTCATGGAAAAATCTGAGGCTACACTGTCTTTAATGGGTGACACATGTCTGGTGGTGCTCCAGGCTATAATGGGACTGTACAACTAACTCTAAAATACTTTTAGAAAAGCAATGGAGTGATAAAAAACAACAGTATAACACTATACTTAAAAAGTATGCATTTTCTTGATGTGAAAATGGTTACATCAAATATTACATTGTAAATACTAAGGACAAATAAAGTTACCAGACTTTACAATACAAGATGAAGTTACATTTTTTACACAGTAATACATGAAACCTGTAAATCATATTTGTTAACAATTGAATTGATCATGATCACTTTCAGCCCCCTATAATATAGGCATGCAGATAAATCAATCGTGAGAGCTATAATTGTGACCCTTTAGTATCAGTCTTCTTTGAGTCAGGATCACATTATTTTAAAGGGTAGCAGAAAACCACAAAATAAACAAATTCTAGCCAAGATGACCACTAGGAAGAGAGCAGCAGTTTATGACAGCCTTTAATTTACAAGAGATGTCTTTTTTCTATCCAAAGGAACCTGCCATTAAGAAACAATTTTCTTATTTGTGATGTGGCTAAATTTTAGCTTAATATATTAAAATACAGTATTCTCTTAAAACCATGAGGGATCCAAACACCAGAATAAGACAGAAACGGGCTCTTCAGCTGTTTTATAGAACTAACTCAGGCTAGTCTGTTTCTTATTTCCAAGCACACTGCAGCAAAACGAACATCTCCAGCTCTTCAGGTGCAAATTTAAAAACAAGAACCAAACTTGTGAACATGCTCGATATACAGTCATGACTCGATCATTTCAAAAGAGGTTGCTGTATGTGTGGATAGGACGTATATTCCAACAAGTAGACATATAGCTGTGACCAAAAGATATTCATTCCATTATGTAGCCTGCTTCACCTTTATCGTGCAGTTTGTTGACAGCTGATTTTGTTTTTAACTCATGAAATCAATTCATGCTTTTTTATTAAAATGTTAATTAAGTCTACATCTGAATAGTACTCAACACTTTTATTACTAAAACAGTCACACTAGAGCTTTGTCACTTTAATTTGAAACTGCTCATACTATTACAGTGTAACCATCTGGAAAGAAAAACAAAACCCATTTAGATATGTTCCTGGATGTCAACATAATATATGCATAATCTGATGGCACAAAAAAAAAGTTAGGAGAATGACAGAACATTCTTCATTTAGACTTTGCCTTGACTAGCACTAAGAAGCCAAAGAATACACTATTTTAAAAAGAATTTAAACAATTGTTGATTCCAAAAATTCTGGTTTATCTTATCTCATAATTGTTTGACATCTCTATTCCCTAATACTACAACATTAACCTGATGCACACACCATAACTGGATCTGATGACCTATAAAATGCTCCCTTCTTTAGAATATAGGCTGACCTCATTAGTGCATCCCAGTAGTGTAGATGTTTGAGCAACGTCATAAAGGAGATGACATTTTTCCTTAAGATTCTGTCTTTCATGTGTGCACTTAAAGCCATAACATCTTAAAATATGTGATTTAGAACTCTAAGAAATTCATGAGTAAAGCAACACAAAGTGAAACAAATTGCTCATGACTAAAATATTACTTAAAGTGCATTTCATTTTAATTCCATAGGAAATTATATGTTACCTCAGAATAACTAGGTAATGTAGCATTCTTCACCACTTGGTAATAGAAAAGAAGAGATCAGATGGCCACTGCAATTAAAACTGTTACATTGAAATTGTGAATATATATTGTAATGTGTTAGTATCATTAGAGCTAATGCAGAAGGAAAGGTTTTAGGAGACTAACACATTGAAGAAACAGTATTAACTACATTGGCCGTCTGCTCTTTTTCAAAATCTCTACTGCCAAGAGACAAAGAATGTTACTTAGTTAATATCCAAATAAAAATAACTGTAAATCAAAAACAGACGACCCCATAAGTTTTTTAATCTATAAATCGTACTTTTTGTACTATATGTTCACTTTTTCACTGAAGACATTTTGGGAGCGTGTGTACTCAATTTTTTTGGCATTAGCTGAAAAAACTTTAAGGAAAAAATCTCAACTTGCCTTGGACAGAGGGTTGAGTTCTATACTGTAAAAAGTCTTAACAGCTTGTTTTATCTCTTGGGCACCAGAACTAGTAATGCTCAAGATATCGATGAACGTGAAAAAACATTAGTTAAATAGCTGCAGCAGACATTTTATGTTGCCCTTTTTTAATATACAACAGATGTACAGCACACCCTACTTCTGAACAACACAAGCTCACATGGTTTATTGTGAAATTCCCTCTGAAAGGTCCCTGAAAAGCAGTAGTGAAAGTAACTGCATAAGCACATTTCAAAGGATGCAAAAATAGGAAAGATCTTCACAAGTATGCAGCTACAAAAAAACATGAATTCACCAGGGCTCTGAAACAGCAATTTGATAGGAGAAATATCAGTATTTTGTAGTGTTAATTTTAACACTTAATTAAGCGTAAATCAAACATAAAATCAATATCTATGTTCTTGTATTGAAGAGTGTCTTTAGTATTTAACATCTGGGAAAGGGTATTGTTTACAACCAAGTTGAAAATTACATTTTTAAATGGGAAGAAAAAACATTTGACGATTCACGATTGAACGAGCCATAAGACCAAGAAACAACAAACACAAATATGTTACGATTTGACACTTGAGCACATTCAGCTTGTTTTGTGTTAAACCTACAGATTCATGAAACAAGAATTTGGCAGAAACTTTTATACTCCAGTAAATCCGAAAAAATATTTGTAAGATGCCAAGGCTTACAAAAACTCCTTCTAACAGAAGAAGGTCCTAAAAAAGCAGTGGCAGACAAAAAAAAAACTTACATAGTTCTCAATGTGGGGCATGTACAGTACACTGAGAAAATAAAATATAAAATTATAAAATATAAAATTGCTGATATGTATTGCAATTCTGGCAACATTACCAAAGGTCGTAGTCTTTTCAAATGTAACAGCAAATAAATAATCAATTTCCCTTCAGGATCAATAAAGTCTTATCCATCTAACATTTTTTGCCCTAATAAAGATGCATGTACTGAAATGTACTAAAGCATAAAGTAAAACTGTGGGTCACATAAGTACCCTTATGTATTTTTTTCCTTACCATTGTTAAGCCCATTACATTCAACGAATAATGTTGAAAATAACAGCCGGGAAAACAAATTTACTGCAGTGCTGTCCTTTACTGGACGCTGGAAACTAATCAAAGATAATTGAATGCTTTCCATTCACCATCTGTCAGACCACAATGACAAACAACAATGCAAAGTTATCTGCTTTACCCCGACAGCCTAAGAGGTATTTTGATCAAAGAAACCTCTTTCTGATGACCATACTTTCGAAATATGTCTTTTACCAAGATATAATAAAAGAGGGAACTTTATTCATTAGTTTCAGTGGACAATGACAGAGGTGTTCAGTAATATACAGTATACATACCACTGGAGTTCATTCAGTTAGCACAGAGTAAAAGCCTTCCAATTAACCTGAGGTAGTTTAAATGGTAGCTCACAGCTTACGGTGACATTCAGTAACTGTAAAACGTAAACTGACATTAAACCTCTCTGGCTGAGCAACTAAACCAGTTTCCATTTGCAGGAGGATGCTAGTTCCCCAAGTGCAGGGGTGTTTATAGCATTTTGACAATGCAAGCTTAAAGAGAAGTGCAACAAAATTACAATGTATTATAAAAAAATAATTAAACCAGACATTTAAGGCTTGCTCTTCCTTTATATTTCATCAAAATTACTTGTAGAAGGTGAACAACACAAATTGGAACAAATTAAGATATTTGTTGTCCTTGAGGTTTTTATTAACTGGATTATAATTCTGCTAATGACAACAAAGTGTAAAATGAGGCATAAAAATAAAATAAAACCAAATCATGTGGAAAGGTTTTAGGAGAGATTTTATTTACCTCACTTTCTCTTATCTTTCTCTTCAATGTACACAGTAAAAAAACTTTTACACAAGTGTTATAAAACAGCTCCTCATTTGACAGACAACAAAGAGCTTGAAGCAAAATAAGGTATTCATAAAACAATGCATTTCTCAGAGAATCCAGAAGACAGGATTCCTTCACTTTTAGAAATTTTTGTTTTTCTATGAGGGGGTGCTCAAAAACCAGAGGAACTTAATTACTTGACATAAGAAGCCTGGATTTCACTGTGGACATTCATACATAGTAAAACTAATTTCAGTTTGTACAGGCCTCTTAAGAGCAAGTTAGGCGATTTCCTGATGGTGAGTCTTGACAGTTATGCAGTGTCATTCTTGTACCTTTTAACCAAAGTGAATTCTCAAATGAGATGCACCGTTTTTTTTCCTTCAATGAAAGCAGCAAGTGCTGTTTTTATTCCTCCTCAGGCAGTGTCTTTGTCTTCTTTGAACAAACATCAAAACCTATCTTGTTGAACAGTCTATCATCAAAGACATTTGTATAAAAATGAGAATAATTAAAAATATCAAAAAGAAGTAATAAGTGTTTCGGGCCTTTGTCACTGCAGATAATTTTCATAGTGCTTTTTTCCTCTACTTGTTCACAGTTAAAGTTAAGAGAGTTTGTTGTTTTATATGACCGAGACCCTTGACATTAACAAATTAAATCAACGCTAGCAAACTTACAAAGGTAGTTCAACACTGCAACACCAAAAATGAACAAGTTAAAGTTTTAGTGGAAGGCAGTGTAGAATTTAAGAGAGGCTCAAATATAGTTAATGCCTATGATCAAGAATTTTAAAAATAATTATGCTTTATTGTTTGATATCATAAATTAGAATACATGTAAATATAAATGTAGCTTTGAGGCAGTAGGCAATATTTTCATGGTGTGATATATGTAAACAACACTGCATAGTTACAGTAAGATTTTTAACAAAGCACAAGTCTCCTCAAATATAAGGAGCAGTCTTTTTTTACCCAGCCATTACCTTTATGATTTAAATGCACTGTTTGTTTGACAAGCTCTGGCCCAATGAGCCATTCTGTTTGGTGCTCAAGGAATTCCCTACCTAGTAATTCACAGATAAACTCCCCCTCCTAATCATCCCTTTGTATGGAATGTGCCAGAGATGGAACTGGAAATATAACAAACAGATGTCTGCCAACTTGTCATATGAGTTCAGAGAACAATAGCACAGCTCCCACATGGGAAAAGACGTAGCATCATGCAGCCTGACACACAACTGTCTTTTTTTCTTTTCTGGTCAATCACTAAAACCCCCAGGCGATGAAAGGTTTTGCTAGCCCTTAAATCTTTTAATGTTGTGCAGTATTCAGAGATTATTAAAAATGCACAATTTTCACACAGCAGAATGAGCTAGCGTGGAAAATGCATTTTCTTTGATAACTGTGATTTACAATGTCAATCTAAGCTGGATGGCTATTCTGAGCCTTATTTTGCCAATATTTCTCTTAGTATTTTAATGTGATCATGAGTGTGTGCCGAGAACAATGAAACAAGTGTTTGCAGAGTCTTAATGTTCATGGTTAACAATTCCAAACCGTTTTCAGGGAGTTTAATTCACTATTTTATGTCACCTCTTTACAGACAGGGGAGTACAGGAGGGGTGATACACTTTCTGACAGTGGGAATGTACAACCTGAGAGAACTACTGTTTTTTACTGCCAATATAGCGAACTTTCCTCCACTACCCACTGGAAAGGCAATATGCAGTTCAGGAACAGGAAATTAAAAGGCAAAAGCCATTTTTTTTGTCCTAGGCCAACATTAAGAATACCAGCTAAGTAAGTATTTAGTAAAAGAGCTCTAAACCCATCTCATACATGAAGAAAGCACAGGGCAGGCATAGTACCATTCAAGATTTTAAAGCCATAAAAGTATACTGGATTGTCATGCTTTGTATAACTATACAGAGGACAAAAGCAAGAGCAAAATCATAGATTAAACTGTACTTCTTTTCCCATCACTATTTCAAATATAATTCTAGTTTTAAACTGTTTAATTGTGAAAAAATTTCAGTACAGTTTTTTATACATAGTACTAGCAAATTCCTGTAATTTGTATTTGGACTTTAAGTATAGACATGTTTTCACATAACCAACACTTAGACTTAACATTTAAAAATACAAAAAGCCAAATAGGACCCACTATACCAGGGGAAAATGGAATCCTTATATCTGACTAATTAAACAATACATGAATAAATTTAAAACCTGTTCTTTCCAATATAACCTTCTATAAAGGAAGAGATAATGAATTTAGGCTCACACATCTTTTAAAAATACAGATTTCAACTGTGAATTTCTGTAACACTGATTTGTCCCAATTAAATGAAAAAACAATCCTTCTCAGACAAATTATGCATCCATCTGGCTCTTCTCTATTTAAAGTTATGAATTAGTCCAATACATAAGGTAGGTCCAAGACAGGCATACAACCATTCAGGATATTGGTGGACAAAATTTAATTTGCTACGAAATACTTCACATCATTCCACAGAAAAAGATACAGGGGCAACAACGAAAACCGCACATTTTAAGCTTTGATTTTCCGGTGCTTAAATAGGGTTTAAGTAGCCTGGGAAAGACAACTGTAATCAAAGACAGACTCAAAAAAGAAAACCAAGCACATTTAAAAAAACTAGAGCTTACAGTTGTACTAGTGCCTGTATACTACCCCAATTTAACTGGAGTAGGTTTTAGGACTGGGAAAAAGCTAATGTATCTGATTTTCACTTTAAAGTACAGAACAGGGGGTACTATTTTTAACAGAACTAATTATCATTTGAATACGATTTCTAACAACTGACAATGTTATTCTGAAGTGTAAAAGATGCAAAATGTGCCGATATATAATTTTCTCACCTACTTAATTAGTATTCTGATACAAGATCCAACACTGTTGTGCCTCCAATGGCCTACAAATTATGCATAAATTATATTATTGGAAAATATGAATGACAGTAAAAGAAAAAAAAGGTTTTTCCCCACTGCCTTTATCAAGTAAGAGAATATAATTTTTCAAGCTCAAATCTGTAACAAAACCCTACACACCTCAGTTTAAAACAATTTTTATAAAATTGCAAGTACATTAGTGTCAGCTACCAAATTAAAATGTCACAACACCACCACGGATCTACTGATGTCAACTCCTCCACTAACATGCTAGTGTTGTACACCCAATCATTAATCCAATGCAAAAACTCCCAAGCTAATGTATAATGTAGTCTCAATAATGAAAATAAACAATGACAGAAGTATTAATGCAAACATACAGTATTCACTCTATACACTGAAGTAATATAAACAGAGCAGCTACAATAAAAAAGTTCCTCAAAAGTGCAGAATGTAGCCAAGACTCATTATCAATATTATTAGTAGTATTACAAATTTATTTTGAGTGTGGAGATCATGGCCAGTGACATCCCCAGATCAGTGGTGGGCTGCACCTTTGTGGCTCGCATGTTGAGATGAAAGCACTTGAATTATTAATCATTTAAAATAGTTTTCTCTATTGCAAAATGTTCTTACGGAGGATATCAATGAGTAATCAGACCTATACATCATGTAACTAATGGTATTTCATATTTTGTTTCTAAATGAACTGAGACTTAATGGTTTCTAATAAAAAACATTTTAGGGCATTTACGCTGGTTTTATTAGATTATATTAAAGAAAGCCAAAGTCATCACACACTTCATTTTATGTCGTGCCATGCAAACTACACTAACCTGTACCTTCACTGCAGCCTAAGAGACAACAGAAGTACTGTAATGGTTTCTCAATGTTTTTCTAAAGCATCAAATTAGTTCACACATCTTATGGAAAGCTGGGTACAAAGTGCTTTACCACAGTGCTGCAAAATAGATTAATGCAAAAGTCTGGACAAAATCAAAATTCTTATAAAGACTAGAAGATCCCTTTTTGGTTCTGCAAATCACATTGCATTGGCATATATATAACATTCTATTTCACCAAGAGAAAAACAGAGCAAACTAGTGTTTCTCTAACTCTCCCTTTCCAGTGTTTTCTTGCAAAAAAACACTTATGAAAGGAACACCTCTTGACTCTTGACTATAGAAGAACAGACTGGAATACACATATAAAATACAGGGCCACCAAGAAAGGAAATAACATTTTTAAGTCACTGCTAAACAAACGTACGAAAAATAAAAAGGATAATGAAAGATACATGCTTAAGAGGTTCCTACTTCCCATCTTCCCCAATATGGGCACCTTTCACTTTCGAGAACTTGCGGTTTGAAATTCACAAGTCCTTGTGTAAAACCATGGCAAACTTTGCGGTTTCGGTCTTCAGATCTTCAGGTGCCTGTGGGTAATTTGTGCCTGAAAACTTTAATTTAACTAGTTAACTTTAATTTAACTAGTTGTTCTATGAAATTATACAATATCATTCCTTTTGACAGTAAGATTCTGTACTATAATTAACTTGATAATGGGACTTAAAGGAGGTATGATCAGTCAAAGAGCCTTTCCTTTATATTGGATCGCTAAATATAACTTATACCTTGAAGGAGAGTTCACTTTTAGAACAAGTACAGGAAATGAATAAAGCATTTTACCCCTAAAGCAAAGCAAGAAAAACAAGTCCTTCAAAATTCAGGAAATACATGAACTCTTGTTTTTTACCTGCAAATATTGTGCACATTTTATCTGCTGCTCTGAGTATCTTGCCCCCGAAGCAGAATAAACTTAAACACAATCATTTAATTATTAAATAGCCTAAACTAGTTTACACCATAGATTGTAAGTTTCACTTTGGAATTTCTTGGTCTTTTATAAAAACTAAAGCCTTTTGTTTGCTGTTATAACAGAGAATTTTGTTGGAGAATTTTGCAAAAAATATCAAGGAAAATGTTCAAACAAGAGATTTAAGATGACGGAAGTCAGATTTTAACCTTATGCTCTCATAAGTAGTTTGTACTTATTGTATTTAACCTTAAATGAATTCTTCATTTAGACTAGGAGCGGACTCCAAGCCATCATTGGAGATGATTACAAAAGGCACTCATATCTTAATCACAGAAATTCTTAAAAATGCACCGAACTCTGCAATGTGTCTCACATATCTTAAGAAGAAGGTTTCTCATTTTGTAATCAAAGAAGTGGCACACTCTTTAATCTCTCAGCATAATGACAACGCAAAAAGAAACCTATGCTTCAAGAAACAAAATAACTTTTTCAGTTCTTCACTGCTCCAGGCAAGCCCAGCAGACCAATGTCCAGTATGTTTTTGCTGGCACTATTGTTAAGGATTTTTAATGAGAACTCTGAGTATTCAAACAAAGGCCTTATTTCTTCAACATAATCAGGAGACTAAGTTCTCAGTGTCTTTGGCCAGAAGAGATGGCACATTTCTTAGGCTGACACAGAACACTAGACTAAAATGTGAAGTTGCACTTGAAAAATAGTAATCTTTTGCAATTAAAGGCCCTGCAGATTTGAGTAAAACAATTTCTGGCCTCTCAACTATTTGCTTTTAAAAATGATCAGTCCAGTAGCACAATAGTGTTATTGAATATCGAGAACTTTTTTTGTTGTTGTTATAGTTTCATTTTCCTTTACAATCCTTTGAATGACTGGATCCAAAACATCTACTCACTCAGAATTACCCGTCAGTGGATGGCTGGGTTAGTGAATGAACCCTGTGAGTGAGCTGAAGGACAGGGAAAAAGTTCCTTTATTACAAATAAGAGTAAGAAGAGTAAATCCACGTCACACGACCACATGGTAGGATGGTGGGGAGGTTGGGTTTAAGAAATATAAACACTTTCTTTTCAGAGAGAAAAAAAAAGTCTTGGAATAAGTCTCTGTAAAGTTCCCCTATCTTCACTCATGGATCTTCCACAAGAACACGTGACCAGAAAGAAACTAGTCAGTTCTGTGGGCTCAGAGGCTGGGCCAAGAGACAGGGACAGCAGCACCGGGGGGGGGTGTGTGGGGGGAGGGGGGCACAGTCAGTTCGTCTCTCCTTTGGCATCTTGTTTATCCTGTAGCAAAGGAACGATGGACTCCCAGGCTGCAAGGCACTACAAAGCAAAAAAATAAAAGTGTTTGAGCCTAGCCCAAAACCTATGGAGAGTAATCCTTTTCAAGTTAATTGTCATATTTATAAAGCAGATTACGAACTTGCTACATCACCTCCTAATATTTTTCATTGTAGGCATGAGACTACTGTAACTGGCAGATAGTGACCGTCATTGAACAGGACAAATTCTAAATAGGGAACTAATTTATTTTAAAAAGTAACCCAATACACCGCCTCTTTAATTATCTACATCCATATAAATGTTCTAGTCATTTATAGTTTGTCTATCAACTAAAATTATGGTATTATTTCTTCATTGGAACATAAGAGTGGTTCTGTTTTCACATGTAGCCCTTAATACAGTTTTTATTGTAATCCTGTCAAAAGATAAAGAATGTTGGTTTCAACACTTGGAATCTCCATTCATTGTTTTTTTTGTCTATGGACAGTTTCCATTTAGAAAAAAAAACACTAGAGTTCTTTTTAGCTCCGTCAGCATTTTAAGAATAAGCTCTTCATATAACCTTTGGCAAAGAAAACATCTATTAGCTGCTTCAGAAATTCTACAGCAGTTTCCAGTTGTGAACGCATTTTTCCTACATGTGCCAATATACTGCAGCCTGTAACCATTTCACTAACAGGACTGTCTTCAGACTGGAGAGGGTACAGTATTAACAGTATAAGCAGAGTGAGTCTTTATGGTAAATTCTAATAAGATAAGATCACTTTATTAGCCATATATAATTTCTTGCATTAGGAATTTGTCTTTTTCGCATACCCCAACTTGCTCTCCATGAGACACACAGAGTGCAGGGTCAGCCATTGTACAGCGCCCCCGGAGCAGTTGGGGTTAAGGGCTTTGCTTAGGGGCCCAACGGATAAGGATTCCTCTGCCGGCTGCGGGATTTGAACCGGCAACCTTCCAGCCACAGGCGCAGATCCTGAGCCACAGAACCACTCCGCCTAATATATTGTTATAGCCTTAGGTGACTTAGAAGTGTCTTAGATTTTAGATAACATTTGTGACACTGGGAAGAGTAAACATTTCTAACTTCAAAGCAGAGAAGGTGTTAGCTGAGGTCTGGGGTCCCTTGAGAAGAAATAATAGGGCAGAAAGACACAGTATAAGTTGACCTTAAAAACAAGAGGAGAGGGAGGACCAGGAAGAGGAGACACAAGGAGAGGAGAGAGAAGTCCAGAGGAGTTGGGACTTGAAGCTTGTGCCAGGCGAGAGCCCCCACTTCCTGATCATCCAAACAAAACCTGACTGGAGCTATGTATTTGAACCTTGTTAGAGGGGGTGTGCTTTTCTGTGTCTTAGGGAACTTGGGTTTCCCGGGTAAAAGAGACCTCAGTTAGAAACGTCTTTCCCAATTAGGGTGCATTTTCTGGATATAGGCTCCCATTTATTTTGTGGCATCCAGGGTGCAGAGAGGGAGATTTAACTGCAGGTTACTTTTTATTTGGTTAGAAGGCATCTCATCTCTTGTGTGGCCTCTGTAGGCATATTAAGAGTTTAGATCTTAGTAGCAGTCTAGGGTTTTCTGTTTGACCAGAAAGTTAGGCCTCTGAAACACCTTGTCTGTAAATACTGTATATAAGTAACATGTTTTGTTGTGTGTTGTGTCATTCTTTAAAAATATCTGTCCAGCCTCATTTGTAACAATATCATGTAAGTTGGTGCGTTGTATGTTTTGTGTCTTGTGTAGTTTATTGTAATAGATACTTGTTTTAGCCAAGTGTGCCTGATTATTACTACTCTCAACAAAGCTTTTGAGAATTCATGTGCCTCTGATTATATAAGTCGCGTAGGTATAGAAATCACTTACAAGTCAGGGGTTATGAATAATTATTTCACCGATTGACTAAACCGCTTGGTCAATTCCTGATTTTGACCAGTTTCGTAACCCCCCATTTTACAATATTATATCATTTTGCCATTTCATGTCAACAGATTTAAAACCTACAACTGTTCTCCTGACATGTATTTAATGGTAAGAAGGAGTGCACAGAATGGCTCTGCTACATTTTTTGAGGGGAGAAGAGATAACATTTTTTAAATTACATACACATGCAATCTGAAGTCATTAATTGGGTGTTTACATATTGGGTCACAACCCAAAAGGAGAGAATGAACATATGTACTGTACATATGAACAGGCTCCTCTTAACATTTTTTAATTATTTTTTAAAATTATTTTTTTCCAAGAACATTTTCTTGATGTTGCAATACAAATTCAAAAGACTTTCCAGTTTTATTTGAATCCTGCATTAAGCCATTTATTGATACACTACAAATTCCACGGCAATTTATCCTCCAGCACTGACTGGAGGATAGATGCATCCCCTACGGACATCACTGCAAGCCTGCAGGGGGCCTGGACAGTCAAAATTTTACCAGGGGCCAAGAGAGCCCTAGTGACCCAATCCCAATCTTCTTTCAGAGGCTGAAACAGAGCTAGTCACACGACCCAAACTTGAACTCATGGTGACCATCTAGATTCCAGAGCTCAACCTACACTCAGAACGAACCCCTCTACACGCTCAGCCACTTGGGAGATCTGGTGAGAACACTGCCTTGTGGCCTAAACAGCATTTTAAACCCAGGTCTCTGGTCCAGGGAGTCTCCACAAAGATCCGGAGCCTATTCAAAATCCATATTAAAATTTCAAGGGCTATTTCCATGACGTCTATGCAGACCACTTGTCTCCCACCTTTTCGTAACACTGGATGTTTTTGTCAGCCATCCCTGTGAGCAGTTGCCTGAAATCCTGCCTTTTGTTGTTCTGCCAACGGTCCCAGTCCGCCTTCAGGTCGGCATTGAAGCACTCCACTCGGTCCTGGCATTTCTCAACGTCTGTAGGAACCTGAGGAAGACAGCAATCCAAACAGACAGTCAACCTGCTACTTTAATTGTCCTTAGAGAACTGGTTTCAAGATGGGTTAGTAGCATTTCTTTGTGTGCTGCTAAATCCTGTTTTGACATTGTTACATTTCCTGAGCATCACTTCCCCAGCAGTAAAAAGCAACCCCATTTAATATGGATTTTGCAATGTTGAATAATAAATTCAGCAAATCATGACAACCTGTGTAAATGTGAACTTGAGGCACTTACCCCTGTTCGCTCTTCTTTTCGGAATGCAACAGCCTCTAGCTTGGCCTCATATTCTGCCTGAACTTGATCCCTTTTCTTCAGAACGTTCTGAAAAATACCAAAGCAGGTTAGGGTACAGACGCATTTTAGCAATATGATAGTATATTAGGTGCAGAAGCTAGAATAACTTTTGATTTCTATGCTGCTCCTGTAGGCGAAACCTGGGATAGTTTGTAATCATGGCTATTCACCAGTTTAAAGCAAAGGACATTTCATCCAAAATGGAATTAAACCAGAAATTCAGCCCATTTCAGAATTCACCATTTGGAAATAACACACTGTACCAGGTACCTAATTGTTGGTTTTTGTGTTACACAGTCTTCTTTCTTCCAACCAAGGGAAACCCACTATCAAATCAAAGTTTTCTAATTGGTCATTAGCAGATAGATCACACTTCTTAATTAAATCAGGCTCAGATTTAGTTAGGCTACATTTGTCTTTCGACCACTGTAAATGCTCTATAAGGGTAAAGCCATACAGCAATGATGCAGCATGAAAGTATAGAAATAATATTTTTTCTAAATGGAACTGTGGAAAGTGAACATTTTCACTATTGAAAATTGCTATTTCACTATTGCTCCTTCCAAGCTATTTCGGTTAAATCTTCAAATGGAGAAAAACTCCATTTATATCTCTGAAAAAAAAATATGGATTTATTAACAATATCTGACCATAAGATCAGACATGATTCAGTAAGATGGAACATGTCATTCAATCCTCAATGGGATACAAAACAGCAGCCTTTTCAAGCAAACCCAATCAGAACAGTTACTGATTTCAAATTGGAAACATCCTTCACTACGTCATCACATAATTGCAGGTCTCTGACATTTAAGAAAATAAAAACAGTTTTACAAAAACTAAACCTGCTCCTCTTTTCTATTCTTCAAAATGAAAGTTTATTTTAGTTCTGGAAACTATTAACAAACCACAGATTATATAACTTTTTGTGTGTGTCCAAGTTAAATATCAGCACAATTCCATCTGCTGATTTTACAAAATTAAAAGACATGCAGGGTTACTTAAAAAGGGTGAATAGAGTGAACTAATAAATACCTGTACAGGGAGACTTTAAATGTAAGACAGAATGGAGAATGGTAAGCAGAATTATTTGTGACTGAAGGTTTTCCTTTAGTGGAAACTTTTTGGAGCTTCCCTCAGTAGATGCAAATTGTCAAGAAGCCAGAAAGAATGGCTCATTGTATGGAAAAATAATTATTCCAGGTTATTCAATTTTATATTTTTAGCCATTTACTGTCAAAACGCTACTAAGGAACACTTAAGATCATCAAATTTACCACACCCAGAATTAGAAACTGAGCTCTGGGAGCTAGAAACACTCTATAAGTGACTTAAAGCAAATTGCTTACAAAACCAGTCGCTTAAACCTCTGGTTACTGTTTGTTGTGTACTGCCATTCCAGATAGCCATTATGAAGCTAAAGTCACTATATCATATATGTTACTTTATCACAACAAACGTTATATGTTTTATAATGTATAACATTAACTCAGATGGTACCTGCGGCTCAGAAAGGGAAAATACACACAGTAATTATCCCAGTTTTTAATACAGTATAACATTCATTGTATGAGTGTATGCTCAGTATTTCCTGCTATAGCAAAGCAGCTGCTTCTGCTTGGAAGTTTTACAATTTCCCTAACGTTTACAGATAAAGCCCATTTACACTGCCAGGAAGTGAATATGATGGTCTTTTACTGGACTTCCAAAAGGCGTCCAAACCCCCCCCCAAACTAAAAAGACTGCGAGGTGCCCATGCCGATTCACGAGAAAACTCAGCTGCCGTACCTTCATGGACTCGACATAGAGGACGTACTCGCGCAACACGGGCAGGAAGTCCTCGCTCATGTCCTCGGTGAGCTCCTCCAGGGCGGTGCAGCAGTTGGCCACGCAGCCCGACACCCCCTCCAGGGGCTCCTGCAGCTCCGTCTCTGCGGCGGCCCACGTGGAATACACTGGGCCGTACTCTCGCAGCTCCACCAGGTATTCTGGCAACGCAGAGAGGCGACACAGCGATTCAACACACAAGCCCATAGCCTGTACACCACAGAAGCCCCGGGAGCAGACAGGATTGTCGCTTGCAGCACAAGGCAGAAGCCCAGGCACAGCTTCACCCTACAGGTCCACAGTCTGTGCGAACGAGTACTCCACCGAACATTTTGCTGCGTTTTCGAGAAGGGAATCTGTGGCCTTGGTAAAAGTTTCAGTCACTTGCATGACAGTCTGCAAATGGGCCTGCACAATGCACAATGCACAAGACAGCCTATCAGCCTGCCATGTTTGGGCCAGCTTCATTTTCTGCTCTGCACTGTGGCAGACCTGTGCTATTTCTGTGCTGTGGCTGGTAATTATCATACAGAAGAACTTGGCAACTCAGCACACCCCTGCTGAATCCAGTATGGCTCATCTGTTACTTACAAGAGCTGCCCCTATGGACAGCACACTGTTTTTGTCAAGGACAGAAGTGCCACACATTTTTTTGTTTCAGCAATACAACACTGAACTAGGTAAGAGTGAAGTCAAGACTATTTAAAAAAAAAATATTGCACATATGCCTTTAATAACTTTGTCAAATAAAAACTGAAGCAATGGTAAATGTACTTTTTAGGACTGCAGATTATGCTTTAGTTCTACGTAGGAGTAACATGTGCAAGCCATTTCTGAAGACAGAAAAGCACTTTAAAGTTCTGGTTATTGATGGTGACTGTGGCATGTTGTGACCAACAGGTACTGCATATTCTTGTTTGCATGCTGTGGATAACTTTTTGGCCTTGCAATCATACTGGGCGTGGCTACACGAGGGTTCATGTGCTGGTGCTGAAATTTAGATGTTTTAATAGTTTGTTAAAAGAAACTAACCCCAAATCATACAGTCTATACTACTTTGATATGTGAGATTTAGAGTTGCAAATAATATTTAATTTTTATTCTTACACATAAAATTGTAAGGCATCACACACTTTAATTTAAGTCAGTACTGTGTGAAGCTTAGCTGATTTATGGAATTTTGAAAAGTTTTTTTTTTCTTTGTTATTTATTTTTGACTAAATTAACTACTTTCAGAGGTAAGCATTTGAAAGATTTGAGATTATTCTTGGCTAAATTATTGAATAAAAAATTATTCTTCAGGCCAAATCCAAAAAGATTTATGATTCCCGTAACACACAGCAGCCAAAAATAATAATAACAGATATGTTGTATTATCTGAAAAGAAATGGCATTTAGGAATGGTGGAAGAGCCCAGAATAAAGAGTGGTGATATTTGAATTCTACAATGGAGAGTGTAGAAAGCCAGAAAATGATTCATGAAAAAATAAATGCTTGGTTTTATTTTTCTGACTTGTTGTCTAAGAGTTTAAATAAAAAAAGAAAGAATATATTCAACATAACCCGTAATTATTTTAACTGAAGTGTGAAACCTGGAGGAACAAAAAGTTTGTTTCAAGCAAATAATTCTACTGGAGAAACTGATCTGTTTTTTTTTTTTTAGTGCAATAATATTGGACAAATAAAGCGGTTAGCAGTCTTCTGAATTCAAGCCACTGAGGCGGTGATTTGTAAGAGATTGGAACATTCAAGAATCAAAAGGAAAAATTCAATAAGCATGAAAGTCCATTTTTTATCTATTCGCAAATCTAACTTCAGATCCGTGACCCATTTGTATATCTACTATTAATTATTCATAACCAAGCACCTCTTTTAATAAACTAATTGAAATATATCACAGCATCTATAATTATCTATAAAAAGAATCTATCAACATGCAAAATGGAAATTAAACCTGTCAGACATCACACACAACTAATATGAACTTTAAGGTGCTCTGCAATATACATTTTATTAAGAAGACATTCTTAACACATGGATTTGGTTAATAATTTAGCCAGCACAGACTTTTCAAAAATAAGAAGAAATAAAGCATCCGTCAATTTTCTAACCGCTTCTTCCAATTCAGGGTCAAGGGGGAGCCGGAGCCTATCCCAGCAAGCAATGGGTGCAAGGCAGTGTACACCCCAGACAGGACACCAATCCATTACAGTACGCACCTACACAAACACACACACTCACAACAGGGCCAATTTTCCCAGAAGCCAATTAACCTACCAGTGTATTCTTGAACTGTGGGGGGAAACTCAAGCAAACACAAGGTGAACAATCAAACTGCACTCAGACAGCACCCCAGGTCTGGAATTGAACCCAGGGCCCTAGCACTGCGAGCCTGCAATGCTAACCAGTGCACCACTTTGCTGCCCTAGAAATAAAGCAATATATGTGAAACATATAATAAATCCAGAAGCAGAAACCTTTACTGACATCTTAACATTGTCAGTGAGCATTTAGTAAGCTATAGTAGTGAGCATGCAAACTGTAGAGGTTTAATATAATTCACAGAGTTGCAACTAGTTCATAGCAATGCTTTACATCGTCAAGGCAACTTTGTTTCACGCCACCTAACCCCAACAACCTCCATCTGAGAGCCCTACCTGATTGCTCTTTGATGATCCTCTGAGCTATTCTGTCAATGGTGCCCAGCTTCTGTGTGAACATGTCCAGGTAATCCCCCATCGCGGCAAACTCCAGGGGTCTCCCTCTCAGCTTGTAGCCCCCCGTGACGTACTTCACCGACTCGCCCATTTTGGTCAACAAGGCCATGCCCTGCTTCTTGTACGAATTGAGATCCTTGAGAAAAACAATATTATTATTAACAACAACAATAATTCTTATATAATAATTTATATAGAACTCTTCATCCCAAGCACCTCCAAAGTGCTTTTACATATGGGAAGGCAGACCCACCTGGCAGCCCCACTAGAAAGAAAATCAAGTAGAAAAGTAAGACTCTGCTTCACCAGTTGAATGAGGGAGGACTGACAGCTTAAGCCCACAGTGGGTTTTAGCCAAGACACTGTCATTTTAACACCCCTGTTCTTACAGCCATGGGATCTTTAATGACCAGCTATTCAAGACCCAAGTCTAACATCTAATCTAAAGGAAGGCACCTCCCCAAACACAGTGACCGCAGTCACCATACAAGACTTGTTGGAAAGGTGGCACCCACTGGTCTACCACTTCCACTTACAGCAGTACCCTGGCTATCCCTGGGTGTCTTCCCTCCCAGTTCTAACTTGTAACTTTGTCATCTAACTTCTAAGCTCTGACCGATCAGGCGGAAGAATCAGCAGCACATCACAGGCATGTGGTAATCGTCCCAATTACTATGCTAACCATTACTGATACTTTCTCCAAATGTTCTCCCGTTGGGAGACAGTGGTTGTGAAAAGAGGAGAATGATATGATTCTATGTACAGTACTGGGTTATAACGGTAGATCAACATTCTTCTTTATATCCAGTAATGCTCATGCTCATTAGTAGACTACTATCTATTCCAACACTGGATTAAAGAAATATCAATCTTCAACTTTCTAAAGCAAATGTAGAAGATTTCTGTAAAAATACCTTATCTAGATTTTGTATTCTTTATTACAAATGTTTCCTACCTATTGTCCTGTTACACTGTTATCTATATTGGAGTTGGAACTGTCAGTATTGCTATCTTTTTTGTTATGAATACTGTGTGCTCTTTCTGGTAAATAACTTTCCCATTAAAAAACTAATTATAGAGTAAAACAGTCTTATTCTACTTTTCTTTATTGATAATCTACAATTACTTAAATGTTGCTTTACAGAACTATAATCAATCAAATATCCTCATCCAAAGTGATGCACACATTTTAAAAGAGATCTTTTAACTTAACCAGCTGTACTGCCACTTACCTTTGCTGACAGAAACACATTGAAGTGTTCATTAAAGGATAGGACAGGATGATCTGCTATCCTCCTCAGAAATTTGTCAAGGGCCCTCCGTCTTGTTTCCACAAACTCTTCTGAAAACCGGTCCACAACCCCTTTCATCACAAACTTCTCAGGGAGAGGCTAAGAAGGCAGAAATGGGACAGGAGTGACAAAGTGAAAGAATCAAAAGGCAAAGGCAAAGACCTAAACGCTCTATTAATATTTTTTAGAGCAAACAAAAAGAGCATAGAAAAAAACTAATTAGTCCAGCCTTGTCCATCCATCCACTTTATCTAAAACAGAGTCTATCCTGGCAAGCAATGGGCACAGAGCAGGACACACCCTGACCAGTCCATCACAAGGCCCACACACACAAACAGGCACACACTCACACCAGGGCCAATGAACACATCAGTTTGTTTTTGGACTATGGGAAGACACCGGAGCACCTGAAGGAAACCCATGCTAACACAAGGAGAATATACACATTGTACACAGACAGCACTCTTGACCCCAGTATTGACCACTGTGCCACCCATTCAGCCTTGTGATGTAGGCCAATCCAGACACAGTTAACAAGTGCAAATGGAGTGCCCTTACCTACTTAACTCCTTTTTTTTTTAATGTTCCAAAGAGGGAGGCACGGTAGCACAGTAGTTAGCAGAGCTGTGTTGTAGCGCTGGAGACCTGGGTTCAACATTCCTTTGTGATGTTGATAGACTGTCAGAGATGTACTGTAGCATACAGTAATTGTCTACTAAGCTAGATCAGTAATAACTATCAATTCAGTATGATTACAGTAGAACAGGAAAAATGCAATTAAACCACAGAAGATTTGTTTGGACTTTCAGCCTTCTTTTCCCTTATGTTCATAATTTGCATCCTTAGATGCAAAAAGCACTAGTTACTGAATAGAGTGAAGTATTCCTGATGTAGACAAATGCCAGTAAGCACGCTACAGCATTGGTTGTATTTGTTCTGAAATTTAAGGCAAGTCTGACATTCTAACCCTGTATCAAACAGCAAAACTCTTCTGTCTCACTCTCTAAATTTACAAATAAATGATTGGTGCATACTGCAAATTTTCAACCTTTCCATACTGTCCTAGACAGCGAGCCCACTGAAATTTTAATGTCAGCTTATTTTTTGTTTGCTCCATTACACGCAGGGGTGCTTTTTTCTACTTTACAGACACCCATGGAGGTGCTCAAAAGGGAAATACAAATACAAATCCAGGAAATAAAAAAAAAGTGACTCAGACACAAAGTTCATCCTACTTCTTTTAACACTTGTTTTAATTTGGGAAAAATATGAAGAGAGGAGCACTTGTGTCATCCTCAGGGGTGCACACTGTAAATTACGCCGTTGACTACAGTGAATTGGAACTAGTTGCTATCTGCTGCGAATACTGGGAATACAGCCCAGCGACAACAGAAGAGCACCGTCAATGGAATCGGCTATGTTTCTACTACCTACAGGAATAAGATGTGTTGGCTGACTCTCTTCCAGTTTGTTTCTGAGCCAGTCGAAGTCTTGATACCTTCGGCGCACCGAGTACTCTGGCAAGTCAAACTCTGTCCTGGTGGTCTAGACACAAAAGCAAAGAAGACCTATACAGTATATATACATAATATATAACACTATAGATATAGTAAGAGCATTGCTAGTTCAAATAATATGGCAGCCTTAACTGAAACATGTTCCCCATAACCATTTGGGGAACAGGCTGCTGATCTTATTCACCTGACCAGAAGACAACTGGTCAGATTTGAATTTAAAAACCAGGAAGCAGAGAAGTAGCTTTGGATCATGTGTGGTACTTCTCCATTTCTGTGCACATCTCAAAGTTTGTGTTGGTGGCCCGTGCTCCGATTTAAGAAAAACTTTCCCCTCTCATACAAATGATACTGTCATTGCAGAGTCTCTTAACACAATAGTTAAAACAGCAGCATGGAGTATGGGCATAAATATATTTGTTCACATCATAATGAATTTCAAATCAAGCATAAAATATTACTCCCATTTTCTTCAGAGTAGTGAGTGGCAAACAACCTGCACAGAAACACAATACAATACAAATTTGGTTATAATATGTTTTAGAAATCTTAAATTTTACAAGATGTTTAGGTGAAATCAACAGTATCATATGCAGTAATTACTACATGTCCACATTATTTAAAAAGTATATGAAAAGGTTTGCCCACAATATTCAGTTTCTAAGGAGATCTTTGTTTTATCAGTTTTATTACTAAGGAAGTATTTAAATAAATCTAAATATGATATTTAAGTGTAACAGAACCAAAGATTTTATTTACATAATCCACCATAAAGAATGATGATTAATCAGGAAACTGCAGTTTGGAAATAAATCACAAGTTAGCCCATGACTGCAGTTTTACTTGAAGAGACCATGATGAATCGTTAATCAAGAGGGAACAAGGCTGTTGCCGAGATACCGTTTGAATAAGGCTGGGAGCTTAGCTCATCCTGAGTTATAGTCATACGTTTTATATATTATACCCATAATTCTGTTCTGCTGGTTCTAATGCAAATACACATCCCATCTTCAGAGGGTCCTTTCAGAACTTTGCAGGTAGCTAGATCCCAAAACCTGGATTCGATGCACTCTTTTGTCAAGACAGTATTAGAGTGTATGTTTACCAAAATCTGCTCAGCTGTGCAAATGCTGGAAATATTTTCTCTTCTTTACGCTTCTTCAATACTAACAAATTGAGCATTGCACACTGCAAAGGGAAGTGCTTGTTGGAAAATGGCTGCAATGAAATAAGTCACTTGGATAACTGTGCAATCCAAATCCATAATGAAGTAGCCATCATGCACTTCATTCCTCATCTTTGTATCGCACACAAAACATAAGGATGGGGTTCATTTAGGATTTTCCACAGAGAGATACCTCTGAAGTCTTAGAGGTGACTCAGACCACATTAATGAAGGTAATTCCTTTTCTACAACCTCTTATACCATACGACCCAATTTATACTTCCACAATACCCAATACCATTAGGCTGCTTGACATTCCAGAAAGGTGACAGCAAATCCTCCATTTTGTATTCTACTTGCAGTTCTAATTAATAACACAGGGCTCTGCTGTTCACACATTGGAGCTCCCTTTTAATCTTTGTCTGCTTCCACACTGTTAAGAGATTTCACAGGTTCAGATTTATCACATATTTTGCTCCTTGTGAAGAAAGATATTTTAATCCTATACAGTAACACAAGTGACTCAGCTAACATTCAAGAGACTCAGTTCATCTTTGCATCAGACCGTTAACCTCCATTCTATTCAGTATATTAATACAGAAAAGTAGAGAATACCATCACATGAAGTTAATGCTACACTTCATAAACTTGTAATTAGGCTCTCTAGTCCACGGAGCCCTCTACTCTTGATAAACGTCTGTCATGCAACATGGTGGTGCTGACCCTGGTGATCATATTTACCCTAAACTACAGAATATCTAAGGAGGCTTTAACATTTCCCAGAAACAGCACAGCACATGAATAATTGACAGAACACCGATTTAATCAACCTCTGTACCATTTAATCTCAAATATCCCCCAGTTTCCTCACCTTAGTGGTGACTCTGTAGGTAATATACGTCTCCATGGTAGAGACATGCTTTTTTGGATCGTCAACAGCGACAAAGAGGTCCCTGGTCTCTCCATCCAGGTCGTCGTCAAGCTGTAGTCTGTTAAGTAAAGAGGACGATGATGCTGGGCTGGATGTATCTACTGGGGTGCCGTTGGGTAAACTCAAATCCTGAGCAAGAAAGAAAGATACATTTATTTCCTGAGCTTTTTTCTTCAAAGGATAGCAATCTGAAGTCATACAAATAAACACACTGATCAAGAATCATGCCAGTGTCAATAATAATAATGCCACTCAATCATCACAAGCAATGATCCCCCACAAGATAAACTTCCTTTAACAAGAGTACAAACGTATTTAAACAAATATTTTAAATGCAGTGTTCATTATCACCCATAATGGAATTACCTGGAAATTGTATTTACATTACAATTCAGATCACAATTCGTATTACAAAGTCATTCCATTTCTTCTTTGCCCAGAGGGCAAAGGGATAAAAATACTGTCCTGAGCCATCTCACTAATTGAAGGAAGACAACAAAAACAGGCTTTCAGTCGATCAACTGCTGCTGTCTGCAAAAAGAGCAGACCCCCTGTTATGTTCTGCACAGCAGTGAGAATGGTTTAAGGATCTCATAGGGATAAGCCCTTGGCTACACTGCTTTGCATTTCTGAAGAGTTTTTGGAAGGAAGCTATGTTACAAACAGATTAGCAGTCTGACTCTACTGATAGAAGGATGACCAAAGAAGTTTAGGTAGGGGTGTTATAATTTCTGTTTTGGAATTTTTATTGCACTACAAATAAAAAAACACTTTTTACCTGAAGGCTGCATGTCTTTTTTTCCCATGACCTACATATTTAAAGATATCCGTTATGTCCCCCTGCCCCTGGGGCCATAGTACAGTATGTAACAAGTGGCCTCCAAATACCTTCCTATGCTACTGCGGTCACCAGAAGGGGATGCATTTAAGAGCATTATGCCAGCAATGGCACAATACTTAACACACAGCAACAAACTGGTGGCTTGGAATTTGGAAAGCATTGGAAAAGGATGTACTGTATTTTTTTACATGAAAGCATTATTATTTCCCCAAGTATTTAAAATGTTTTTTTGCTGCACTTTGTAATATCACACAGTGCCTCAGTAATAGCTTGCATGCCAGCAAATTGATGCACTTCATTAACACAGGACAGCTACAACAAAACCCCTTCACCTAAGAGACACAGTCTTGAAAAACATACAAGCAGCTGTTTTTTTTTTTTTTTTTTTTACAACCACATCATCGAAACCTTTCAATAAATTAAATCCTTTGTTTCAGGATTAAGCTCTCATGAGACACCCCTGACTGCCCAGGCATGCAGTCCACAAGAGGAAAACCCATTCCTGCAACAGGCTGAGACAGAATGAGTAGTGATACGAGCGAAGAAGAGCTCTGGAAGCTCCAAAGCTACTGGGTCAAGCAGAATTCAACCTATTGTTTATGTACTTTTTGGCTCAGGCTGCTAATCAGTGCAAAAAGGCAAAGAAATATGTCAACGACTCACATCAGTGTCAACCGGCAAAGCCCAGAGTTATTCCAGAGAAGAGCTTGGCATAAATATCTATGCTGGCCATCTGTACAGTATCATAAACTCTTGGAAAAACAACAGTAAGCAGCTTTCAAGGTAACAGTGCTTCTCCACATTTTTCAGGACTATTGTGGGTTAATCACAATACCAAAAAAAGATGGATCCCATAATCAGTTATTTTACTAAACATCCCCTCATTGCATTTTGTTGTTACAGCACCTAGATCTGGAGCCCTGCAAAATTTGAATTCTAGGAGAGTTTTCCAGTTTATCCTCAATCCCTGTGATTGAATCGGCCAGTCTTCTTCATAAATATCTGTATCAGGCCTACACAGTGCACAGACAATGATGAGTTTCAGTCTGCTCTGCTTACATCTGTTTATTTCTGTGTGGCACACATGTTTAATAGTGCAATAATGGCAGTTTTTCACCGATGGATCATGGTCTCACATTCACAACGTCACCTTAGCAGATCCTAAGGACTTCATTACCAAAGCAAGTCCTCACTGACAGTGTGGACATACTGCGTTTGTTAGGTCTCTCATATCTGGATAGATGGCGTTTTACCAGGACCTGCAGTAAATGTGTTGTGCTTCCCCAATAACTCAAATTCTTGTAGTTTAAGATGTTTAATTGCTTTTTTGTTGGGAAAAAAGGACATAATGGTAAGAAAACATTCTAGTGTGTGCTTGTGGGAGTGGTTAAACTCATTCCATGAATTTCAGTTGTGATTTTTAGCACTGCTAGCACTGTTTCTCCATTATCATATATCAATTTAATTGTATCAACGGTACTTACATAAATCAACTAATCTAATGATCAATATATTGTCATGGCATGTGATTTGCCGTGCCTTAGAAGCAATATTCAAAATTAAATATAAACCAAAAGAAAATCTATAAAATGTGACCAAATTCAGATCCTCCCTATTGAGGCCTAGCAATTTTTCCAAATCAAAGCAAAAGCACAAATGTAACTAACACTTTAAAAGTAGAATTCATACATGATATCTAAAATTATCCATCATTGTTTCTACTTATGCTAACTAATGAAGAAAAAAAAATATTGCCTTCATGACATATCAAAGCTGGTAGCAGGGAAGCACAAGAGGACAAAAGATTATTTTTAAAGAAAAAAAAACAGACAACCTAACGTTTTTAAGGAAGCCACACCATGAAAATATAATTTTATCTTCAAATCAGCAGTTTCTGGTTCTCTTTATTTCATTGCTTCCTTTAAGAAACTTTTTTCTTGACTCATCAGTTAGCGGATATGTTCGTCAGACATCATTTGCTTTTTTTTTTTAGTTTACTTGCAGTGTTTAACATTTTCCTAATCATCTACAACCAAATAAGTATGATGCCTCCCGACAATTTCCACTCCATTAATGGTCATGGATGAAACAAAAAAGAATGACATTGTAAGCAGATATAAAACACAATATAAAAATACTTTAAGAAGGAAGAATATTTAGAGATACAAAATCTTTTAAACAGCAAATTAAATCTGTTGTTCTAACATTTTCAACGATAGTCAAAATATATTTATATTTGTGTCTTTGTATACATAGAGTATGTACAGTAACATCCTAAAATACAAAAAAATTACTTTCCCGTTTCTCATGTGTGAAGAACAATTACTTCTGTGCTGAGGGAGAAAAAGACTTAATACTAAAACTCTTCACTTAGGATTTAAAATTGATCATGATAAAAAATAATAAAAACTACCATACTACAGACAAAAGATCTGTTTGTACTGCTTCTGTGAACTTAACTTACCATGTTGAATCCCATGACCCTGTATTGGATGAAGTAGTTAGAGAATGGATGGATGGAACTAAAAATGTATCTAATCCGAAGCAAGTCTTCAATTCCTGAGAAGGAGCATTGTTAAATCTACAAATTAGGAGAAAAATCAAATCTTCTATGAGGAGAAAAAAAGTCACACTAGTAACCAGAGAACTAGTATAATAAAGGGTTATGCACATTATACTGTAGCTCTCTGTGCTGTTTTTATATCTCTCAAAAAAAGAGACTGAAAAAAAATGTTTTTGCTATAAAATAAAAATCAACTGAGCTTGATACCTGGACAAACAATTCCATGATAAATTAATAAATCAGTCCTCATTTTGGAAACTGCTTTGATAGACCTGAAAGTTTGGATCGATCTACTTCATGTTTACGGTGAAGAAAAAGCAGAACACTATATCAAGACTGTTACTCCAGACATGATTCATGAACCCCTCCTCCATTTATTCCAAAAACAACAAACCCATCAATTAGCTTGGTAATCCCCCCCAAAAATAAATGTTTCAAATCTGAAGTCAAACTCTAGGAGCACTGTACCCCACCCACCATCCCCCGAGCAGCAGTACAGACGCAGAAGTAGATGAGCACGTGATCACAGGTGAAAAACAAAATTAAGATTCCTTATTCCTGTGATTCTGTCCCTCACCACAGATTCCACTTGCTGGTAAAACTCAGTAGAAGTTTACACACTGCTTTCAAAACAAACATTTCCATGGCAACAGCCCTTTTTCGGGAAATGGAAACTGGGAAAAGGTCCTGGATTCTTACATCGGCTTTTTGTATATTTAATATGTTCTAATGCGGCAGCTCATGTGAAAAAGCACCACTTCAGTCTTGGCCACTGTAAAAATGGAAACGTCACTTTCCAAGTAGCTCAATCAGGCAGGTTCAGCTAAACAACCAAAAGCTGCTGCTGAACTGACAGGATCCAACCTAATACCATTGTTCACAGATCTCACAGACAGGGCTTAAACCCAGGTAGGCTACCATGATTGGACAGGTGAAGTCAGCAGAAGGTTCTTCTGTCACCCTTGGTAGCACAGCTCCTGAGATTTGCAAAGCAGAACTGTGCTACATTCACTGGGTGAACTAAACACCATTGTTTTAGCTCAAGGTTGCTTTGTGGAAAAAAAACAACCAGTCTTGGTCTCAGAGGATTTGTTGTAAAAGGGTCAAAAAAGTGCTCATTCTTTACAGGATGAATACAGATGTGTTTTAGCCTTCTGTGGATATTTATCATTGCCTGACAAAATCATTTCAGTCCTTCTTTTTCATTAAAACTTCAATGTCCACAAAGTGATGATCTAAATGGATTTTTTACGGAGGTTATGATAGTTCTGATTATGTTTGAGAATAATAAGAACCTTGTTTTTATTGCACCTTTCATAACACATCATCTCAAGATGTGTAATGTCTCACAGATAAAGATAAAAAGTAGCTTTTAAACTCCTGGAAGTGTTTTTTTTTTATTGTTTTAAGTGGAGGAACTCTTGGTCAAACTGCTAAAAATTGCACTTAGCTACACAGCACTGCATGAAGCATTTTTTAGAGGCATTTCTGTTCAATATTTGCAACTGCAAAAAAGCTTTTAAAAACTGTACCAAAAAGATATCACTCTTCATTCACTCAAGGGGAAAAACTACCTTAAGCAGATGGTATGGTGCACTTGGTATATCCTGAACGACAGTAACAAAGCCTGCAATGTTTGAAAAAAAAAAGAATTTCATAAGTATCTTCAATAGGCATTTTGCCATTGTCTGGCAAAAAAGAAACTAGATTAATGATTAATGAATT